TCAAGAACAGATAAGCAACTTAAATAGACCTATAACCCCTAATGGGATATAAGCAGTCATCGAAAGCTTTCCAACCAAAACAAAAACAAAAACAAACAAACAAACAAACAAACAAAAAAGCCCAGGGGCAGATGGCTTCAGTGCAGATTTCTACTAGAAATTCAAGGAAGAGCTAATACCAATAGTCCTCGAATTGTTCCACACAATAGAAACAGAAGGTTCATTACCAAACTCTTTTTATGAGGCCACAATTACCTTGTTACCCAAGCCACAAAAAGATACAACTAAGAAAGAAAACTACAAACCGACATCTGTCATGAACATTGATGCAAAAATACTGAATAAAATACTGGCAAATCCAATACAAGAACACATCAGAGAACTTATCCACCATGACCAAGTAGGTTTCATCCCTGGATTGCAGTGATGGTTCAACATACAAAAACCTATCAACTTGATCCACCATATAAACAAACTGAAAAAGAAAAACCACATGATCATCTCTCAATACAAAAAGCCTTTGACAAAATTCAACACCCTTTCTTGATGAAAGTCTTGGAGAGATCAGGGATAAAAGGAACATATATAACCTTATAAAAGCAATATACAGTAAACCAACAGCCAACATCAAACTGAATGGAGAGAAGCTTAAGGCGATTCCTCAAAAATCAGGAACAAGACAAGGCTGCCCTCTCTCTCCATATCTTTTCAATATTGTACTTAAGTTCTAGCTAAAGCAATAAGAAAAGCAAAGGAGATCAAGGGCATGTGACTTGGAAAGGAAGAAGTCAAACTGTCACTATTTGCAGATGATATGATAGCTTATATAAGCAACCCAAAATCTCTACCAGGGAGCTGATAAACACCTGCAGCAAACTAGCAGGGTACCAGCTAAACTCAAAAAAAAAAAAAAGAAAGAAAGAAAAAAAATCAGTAGCCCTACTATACACAGACAACAAAGGGGCCGAGAAAGAAAGCAGAGAAGAAACAAGAAACATCACCTGTAAGGAATAAGGTTTTTCCTCCCGCCACTGGTCTTGTCCTGCCGCTGCACCAGCCCCAATTAACACACTGAGACTCTGTATTTGATATAATGCTGTTGCCCAGGTACTAGTTTCTTATCGGCTAGCTCTGTCTTAAGTATTAGCCAAATCTGTTGATTTATGTATTTCCATGTGGTCTCATCTTACCAGGGAATGAGGCAGGCATCTCGTCTCCCCAGTCTCTCCATGCTGACTCCTCCTTACTACTTCCTCTCTCCTCCTTGTCTCCTAGTCTCACCTATCTTGCTTTCCTACTGGCCAACAGTGCTTTATTCATTAACCAGTATGAGAAACATATTACAGAATGACATTTCCCATCAATCACCCTTTACAATAGCCACAAACAACATAAAGAATGTTGGGGTAAAGCTTACCAAACAAGTGAAAGACCTATACAGCAAGAACTTTGTATACTTATAGAAAGAATTTAAAGAAGATACCAGGAAATGGAAAGATATCCCATGCTCTTGGATAGGTAGGATAAACATAGTGAAAATGGCAATCTTTCCAAAAGCAATCTCCATTAAAATCCCAGCACAATTCTTCACTGACCTTGAAACGATAATAATCAACTTTATATGGAACAACAAAGGACCCTGGATAGCCAAAACAACACTGTACAATAAAGGAACTTCCAGAGGCATCACCATCCCTGAGTTTAAGCTTTACTCTAGAGCTGTAGTCCCGAAAACAGCCTGGTATTGACACAAAAATAGACAGGTAGACCAATGGAATCGAATCAAATATCCTGATATTAACCCGCCCACCAAGAAACACATGATTTTTGACCATAAAAAAAAAAAAACTAAAAGTATACAATGGGAGGAGGAAAGTGTCTTCAACAAATGGTGCTGGCACAACTGGATGATGGTGTGTAGAAGACTGAAGATAGACCCATGTCTCTCGCCATGCACAAAACTCAAGTCCAAATGAATCAAAGACCTCAACATAAATCAAGCCACACTGACCCTCTTAGAAGAGAAAGTGAGAGGTACCCTTGAACAAATTGGTACAGGAGACTACTTCATCAACATCACTCTAGTAGCACAGACACTGAGATCGACAATAAATGGGACCTCCTCAAACTGAGAAGCTTCTGTAAGGCAAAGGGCACAAATGGCAACAAGGCCAAATGGCAACCCACAGACTGGGAAAAGATCTTCACTAATCCTACCTCTGACAGAGGGCTGATTTCCAAAATATACAAAGAACTCAAGAAACTAGTCACCAAAACCCTAAATAATCCTATTTAAAAAAGGGGGAACAGGACTGAATAGAGAATTTTCAATAGAAGAAATCAAGAATGCTGAAAGACACTTTAGAAATTATCAACATCCTTAGCTATCAGGGAAATACTAATCAAAACAAATCTTACTCCTGCCAGAATGACTAAAATTAGGAACACCAATGACAATTTATGTTGGAGAGGATGTGGAGAAAGGGGAACACTCCTCCACTCATTGTGGGAGTGTAGACTTGTACTGCCATTTTGGAGTTCAGTGTGGCAGTTCCTCAGGAAAATTCAAATCAGTCTACCACAGGACCTGGCAATCCCCCTCTTAGGCATGTACCCAAGTGATTCACATCCATGCAACAAAGACATCTGTTCACCTATGTTCTTAGCAGCATTATTTTTAATAGCAAGAACTTGCAAGGAACCTAGATGCCCCTCAATTGAAGAATGGATAAAGAAGATGTGGCACATTTACACAATGAAATACTCCTCTGTGTGTGTGGGGGGGAAACAAAAACAAAAAATGGAAAACAGTGGATTCTTGAAATTCTCAGGCAAATAGATAGGACTTTAAGAAACCATCCTGAATGAAGTAACCCAGTCACAAAAAGAGAGACATAGCATGTACTCACTCATATATGGATTTTGGACATAGAGTGAAGGATCACCAGTTTGTAATTCTCACTGCCAGAGAAACTAGGATACCAGGAGGAATCTAAGAGATTCATACAAGTTCCTCCACAGAAGGGGAAAGCGAGATCTCCTGAGCATATGAGGAGTGGTGGGACAGTGAGTGGAGAGGAGCTAGGAGAAAGAGAAGGGGAGGAGAGGAAAGCATGTGGGAGTGGGAAGATTGAGCCAGGGGAGGAGTAGAGAAGAGAAGACAGAGAGAGAGAGAGAGAGAGAGAGAGAGAGAGAGAGAGAGAGAGATACTATAAAAGAGGGAGGAGGCATTATAGGACTGATTCCAACTAACAATTTGAGCAACAGTGGAAAGGCTACCATAAATGCCCTTCCCAAATAATGAGATTGATGACTAACTTATCCACCACCATAGAGCCCTCATCTAGTAGCTGATGGAAACAGCTCATTCTTAATGTGTTCCTTTATTTCAAAAGATGAACTTTGCAATCATCATCACTCACGGATCATGTTTTTGACATTCTTTTTGGGTTTTTCTGGAGTTTTTGTTTGATGTGTGCTTCAAGTTGTCTGTCAATTTTCCAATCTGTTCAATTGTTCTATTCCTTTGGCATTTATACATTTTCAGTACTAATTGCATGTTATATATAAATATAATTTGATTTGCTTTATTTTATAAATAATGTATCCTTTCAGTAAATTCTATTTATACTTTTAATTTTGTTTTTCCTTCCTAAATATTTTTGTTCTCTTTTATTTCATTTTTTGATTTTATGTCTAAAGGATTAAATAGGAATAGGTTCTTTGGTTTTTAAATACAGTCATTGTTGATTTTACTTCATTTGTGTTCATATTGTTAATTAGTTATCCTGTGGTGACTGGCTTCTCCTGGGATTTCCTTTCCTTTAAAACTTATACATGCTTTTAAATATTTTATCTTTCTTGATTGTTACTAGAATTTGCATTAACTAGTCAGATGTGGCTTTTGTACTATGTGAAAATAGGAACCCTTATGCGTGCAAGTTGCTGAGATAGACTGTTTCTGAAAACTGTCAAGCTCACAGCTAACAAGCAACTTCCTGTATTTTTTTTTTCATGAATTAGTTGATGCAGTTTTTCTTGTCTGCATTTTGCATGCCCAGTGATCATCAGAGTTCCTAGGCTTTAAGATCAATTACAGTTGCTCACATTATATATTCTGTCCCATATTTGAACAAGTTCCAAAACGTAACTTCTCATGACCTCAACCCAGTTAAGGCCCAGATTCATTTTGGCTTCAGCAATGGATTCTCTGTTTTAAATATCCTTTCTTTTGGGGTTACTATGTCAAGCTCAAACATTTATTTCATCAAAAAGCAAAAGAAAACATCCTTCTCTGTTTTTTACATACAATAGTGACTATCCCCCACCAAACACAGTATCTTGTATAGCCATTTTGATTTGATGTTTTAAAGAAGTCCAGTTTTTCATGTAAATATGCTAGTTTTCCTTCATAGTCGCTATAGTTTTTCCTAGGAAAGCATAAATAACATACATACTCCCTGTGAATTGTCTCTTTTTACCATGGTGAACTATATATTCTACAGCTAACATTCTATGTTTAATATTTATCTGTCACATATTAAATTAGATGACCCTACATGTGTACACACATGTGATTGATTTGTCCATGACATAACACTGTATTCATTTCATTGTCACTGCAAACATACAAGGATGTTAACAAAGGAGCTGTATATTTAGTATTTCACTCTTCTTTCATCAAATAAATAATTATGACTTATGTATAATATTTTCCTGGCTTAAAAGGCATGAATGAATAAACAAAACAAGACCATTTCTTGTGCTATTTTCTTGATGTTGCCCCAGAATAGAAAATGTGTTAAGAAAAAGGCATGTTTGGAGATTCATGAACCATCCCAGCAAGAGTGAGGGGACCCTTCTTCCATAGTACTAGAAGTGAAAATGTAGCCTTTTTTACAGGCTCACCTATATGGTTCATACAATTCTCACTGGTGTCTATGTGAGTAGGTATCAATGTGCACAGCTGAAGTCTACCTGCCTCTTGATATTTTCCACAGCTGAGAAAGTGGAGTACTTTTGGCTCACTGGAAGTTGACCCTGAGACTGGAGTGGATGCAACTCTGCATTCAGTTGTGACTGAAGATGACTGTGAAATTCTTAAAATCCCTGCAAAGGAATATGAGAAGTTAAAATTGGTATGGTGTTCATGTCTACTTTACTTTTGAAATTTGACTTGATTATAGAGACCATAAATAATGGTTTATCTGATGAACAGCAGTTCAGCAGCTTCTTTCAGTACCCAGAATGAAAGCCAGGGTCTCCTTGGGTGTGCATTATGAGCACTCTTCTGTTTTTTTTTTTTAAATGAATTTGAAATTCATTTGTTCACTCCTTCAGCAAATAGTTCATTTATGTGTCAATACCATGTTATTTTCTGGGGACACACAATTATTTGACAGATCACATCACTATTGCTTTCAAGATCTCAACAGTCTGCACTAATTTTCTTTCAGAACGTGTGCTAGTCACTTTCTGTTATCTTGACACAGACCTAGACATACCTTGGAAAAGGAGATTTTAGTTGGGGAACCACCTTCATGTGTAACCCTGGCATATTTGTGGGCCATTTTGTTGATTGCTAGTTGATGTGGAGGGGCCACCTCAGTGGTAGTCCCATCCTGGACTGGTGGGCCTATGAGGTATAAGAAAGATAGCTGAGTAAACTGGGAGAGAAGCCAGTAGACAGTGTTTTCCAATGGTCTTTGCTTTTGCCTCTGCTTCCAGGTTCCTACCATAAGCTTCTATCCTTGTTTCTCTAGATGATGTGCTGTTATTTGAAGGTGAATAAATGTCCACTTCAGATTGCTTTGGGTTACTTTGTTTATCAAAACAACACAGACGCAAACTAGGACAGAAAGTTTGACATGCTATTTCAGAGTCATCCAAACTTGCAAAATCAGGACTATATGAAAAGGCATTAAAACTTATTTATGAGCTTTTAGTTCTTCTGTTTAAGAGGAAGTATGTATGCAAATTCATTTTTTTCTAGACTAGACCAAAAATGCCCCCTCCTTCTTTTTGAGGGTAGAGGAAGCTTCTTTAAATAATTGGATTGGAAGGTCCCTATAGTCTTCCTGATAGGTTTTTAATACAGGACTCCAGCATGGCTGATACTTGCTGGTCCAGTACTCATGCTGGGAGTAGACAAAGATACCTCCTTCTTGCTTATGATCTCAAAGAAGAAGAAATTTTGTTTGATGTAGCGACCTCATAATCAGACAACTTTCTCAGAATTACAATTTCCTCAGTTACTAGATATTAATATGTGTGAATTTCAGAGTGGTTTCCTTAAAGAAATTTCCTTGATTTGTTGTTTTCCCTCATCAGAATTAATTACACACACACACACACACACACACACACACACACACACACACACACACCGCTTTATATAACAGCTTTAGATATGTTAACATTTATAGAAATTTAAAACAATGTGAGCATGTTGGAAACAATCTGAGAGTTAAAATTCCAGCACAGTGAGGGTGATGCCTTCCAGGAGGGATCATCAAAATATGTCAAGTTATTTGGAGTAGGGACTAGGCCCTCCCTCCTGCCTATAGGCTAAGGGAGTATCCTTCCATGGCGAATATGCTCCCAAAGTCCATTCACGCACCAGGGACACATCCTGGTTTCACTGTCAGAGGTCCCTGAGACTGCCCAGGCCTTCTAACTGAGACTCTTGTTCAGGGGGTCTGTTTGTTCACTGTTGGTTTCCAGCTATCAGTCTGGGATCCATGAGCTCTCCCTTGTTTAGGTCAGCTGTCTCTGTGGTTTCCATAGCCTGGTCTTGACCCTGTTTTCTTATCACTCCTCCCTCTCTGCAACTGGATCCCAGGAGTTCAGTTCAAGTGTTTAACTATGGGTCTGCTTCTGTTTTCATCAGCTACTAGATGAGGGCTCTATGATTGCATATAATTTAATTATCAATCTTATTATCAGGAAAGGCATTTAAGGTAGCATTTCCACTGTTGCTCAGATTGTTAGTTGGGGGTCATCCTTGTAGGTCTCTGGACATTTCTCTAGATCTTCTAGATTTTTAGAGTTTAGAGTCAGTTTTCTCTTCAAACCTTTAATGGTGCTCCCTTTATTATGGTATTATGGTATCTCTCTCTCTCTGTCATTTTTTTTCGCTCTCATCTATTTGTCCCCCGACTCAATTTTCCTAGTCCCACATGTTTTCCTCTCCTCCCCTTCTCTTTCTCCTAACTCATTCTCCACTCAATGCCCCACCACCACCACTCCTAATATGCTCAGGTGATCTTGTTCCTTTCCACTTCTGAGAGGGACATTGTATGAAAGTTCCTCCTTGTATCCTAGTTTCTCTGGCAGTGTGAATTATAGGCTGGTGTTCTATGTGAGTGGGGGTGGTGGTGTGGGAGGTGCATCAGGGGGCATGGGAGGGAGGGAGGAAGAGAGATGAAACTGGGATCGATATGTAAAATAAGAAAAATAATAAATATACATATAAAACAATTTCAGTATACCTGTTGGCCACAGTGATAGTCAAATACTATTTGAATTTATCTTATACTGAATAATTGCTTTATAATTGTTATTTTCCTTTTTCCATTTTTTCTATTTGTTAGTTGTGTTCATTTTAACATTATCTCATTTTGAAATCTGATAATGGCATTCTTTTACAGGAAAAAATAAAACGTGAAAATATCCGAAAGTTGAAATTAATCCACAAGTGTCCTTTTTATGAAAACTGGCCTACTTTGACCATATATGATCTAGTTTCACTTAGTGAATGGAAAATTTTTCCTCCGGGTCATGGTAAGTTTAGTTCAGTTTCAAACTATTTTTTTTTATGTAAAATTATATCATTGGGATTTGTAATTCTTTATAGTCTCAATATTTTAAATATTTCTTCATATAGATATTCTTAATTAACAAATTATTACCTTTGAATTGGTTATTTAAATTAATTCCCTTTTTAGTTAATAAAAGGAACATGCTTTACTTCAAAACAGCTTCAGTGCAACCCTGTATTCCCCATCTCTCCATATCTCCAACTGTCCACACTCCTATTGCTCCACACTGCAAGTCAGAGTAAGGGCCATACTGTAAGGGATGGAGGCAGAAAGTTGCTGTAGTCAGTGTTTCCTCATTCTCTTGGTTGGGTAAGTTCTTAATCAAAAAGATTTCAATCAACATTTGTGTTATATGTCATCAGTGGGAAAATAATAGTTATAAGTCTTCTATTGCTTACCAAAACTTTTGAAAAGAAAGCATTTCTGATTAAATTTTTACAACTTTTGGACTATTTATTATATAAATAGTCTTTGGGATGGAAAGGAACTCTAAATGTGAAATCCACTTACACTTCACATTTATCTCCTTAACACTGGCTCTAATTTGGACACTATATTTGTGTATCTCTGTTCTGACTGTGATTTGCCACAGGAGGTCAGATGTGTAACTTTCTAGATGTGTCATTGTGTATGATTTAAAAAGTTTATAGTTTTAGAAATTTTTCATTTGCAGTTTCTAAAGCAGGTGAAGTCTCAACAAGGGAAATGGCAAGGGAAAGCCTGTGGTTTGAATAGACAATGTGGAGTGTATACACAGACCTCTTAGGTTATGTTCACATGAAAGTATAGACAGCACTGAGTCCTCTTACATTCTGTGAGAGCAAAGTAAATAAGGAAGTCAGTGGAGGAAGACTTATGAAAGCATGGCTGAGGTTTTCTATTTTTAGTAAGGAAAACTTTTGTCCTACCAGAGACAGAGTAGAGTATCAGAATGAGTAGTGAGACCTCACATTACTCTCCTCTCCAACCATGGTGGGGAAAACACCTGGACCATTGTATTAGGAAAAACGTTTCAAGAAATACCACTACTCCAAAGCCCCCTAGAGCTGTGATGGCCGTGAGGTTAATTTCAAATTAGGCTGAAAGAAAGCTCCGACAAGTTTGATTAAGTTAAAAACCTTAGAACATGGCTAAGATATCCTTGGGAGGAGTCACTAGTTAACAGGAAATGAATTTCATCATAGCATTGTACAGAATTTTCCTGATGCTGTACTGTAAGGAAAAAGTATCATGTTAGAAAAGTTGAGGCTTCAAAGCACAGAAATACTATAATAAGCCATTCAGATTTAATAAATTTCCTTTTAGTGTTCATATTTCCAATGTAATTTCTTAAAATATATTTAAACTGTGCTTTAGGTATATTAAATGTCTTGCTTATGAAAATTATTAATATCAACAATATTAACCTTGCAAACAATACTAATAACATCAAATAATACATCATTATTAATAATATCAATAATACTAACACTATCAAAATTATTGATATTAATCTTGAAAAACTACATAGTTCTAAACACTAGACAGCTAGCCAGGGAAGAGATTAATAATATTGAATTGTTATACATGAAGCATTTTACTAACAATCTATGAAAACAAAGATTTTATTCAAATGTATATGTGGAAAACAGGTAGGAAACTAACTTCTAAAAGTGTGAGTTTATCTTTTCTAAATTCACTATAGTTGTAGAGAAATACTTGATAAATGCAAATATTTTGGATTTATCATAGTAGATTTCCTTCTTTATATCCTATGTAGTAAATATTGGTCATAAGCTTACTCTCAATGGCTGTATATAGATAGCAAAGTAATATCTTAGTCTATTATTTTAGTAATAACTCATATGATTAAAAAAATGAAAAGAAACCATGTTTAAGTGGTTTGAAATGATGTAAACAAAATATGATGGAATATGGGAGGGACTATGAATTTATGACTTTAATACATTTAGTTGCTATTAATAATGTTTATCAAATTAAAACATGTATCTAAAATACTTTAATTTCATATTAAAGAACTAAAATGCACTAGAGAAAACACTTTTCAAAGACTTGGGTGTCTTGAAAAAATAATAACATTTGTTGAACTACTGTATTAGACACAGTTATTATATTGAAAAAATAAAAACTAACATTTCCATCCATTTCTAAGTGTATATAAGTTAACATTAATTTATATTGGTTTAGAGGAAATTTATCCTTACCTTAGGTAAGAATGACAAATCTTCCTGTAAATCCCTTCTCAGTACAAACATTCTATGGTTCTTATAAATAAATGGATCTAAGTTAGGAATATATTCCATCAAAATAATCCCATATTTTTATAGTAATGAACAATATATCAAATAAAATAATCACATATGGTACTTCTTGACTTATAACTTATACTGGATTACTATCAGAAAACAAAGCTATAGCTGAAATTAAATAAATAAAAGTGAATGATTTCCAAAGTATACAATGTGTGTTTTGATCTTACTTCAAATATGATTATTAGATGAACTTTGAAGGAGATTTAGTTAATTGTCAAAAGCTTAGTAGATTTAGGACTTATCTTTGGCAATTTCTGACTTTTCAGCTCCTCAAAGCTACCTGCATGCTGGCTTCATACATGAAGGGGCCTGATGACTATGCTCTCTAGGGTTGCTTGTAATTTTGTGCTGTCTTATTCTTTTTCAAAATGTGACTCATAACTAGCTTGCTAACCACTCTGTTCCAATGTATATCATATACATACATAAGGATAATAAATAAACTTGACAAACAATGTTATTATCTTGCTTCTATTGGTAGGTAATCTTCATTTTTTTCCCCAGTATAAGTTGACATGAATGTAACTTGAGAAACTGAAACAACTGTACTATCAATTCACTTCTAAAAGACAAAATATATGAAAGTAATAATGGCACTAAAACTAAATAATATCTAGGTACCCAAAGCTACAAGTGTTTTGTGCATTATATACATGTTTTGAAACTCTGCCTTAAGAACAGATATAGTTCTTGTCTCTGAAATACATGAAAGTTCTGCCATTGGTGTTTTATACATCAATAAGTCCTACAGATGATCAAAGATCTTGGTCCCAAGGATGCATGTTCATACCTCAAGGAACCTTCAGTCTGGGACCTCTTCTTGTTTAGATTTTTTTTGAGAATTTTATTCGTATATACAATTTATATTGATCATATCTACCTCCACCCCTTACCCCCCTTTTCTAACACCTCTGCTGCCTTCTGTGACCATGTCCTACTTCAAACTTTATGTCTTCATTTTATGTTGCTTAATCCACTGAGTAAATTAGAGTATATGCCTTCCAATGGAGCATAGACAATGGAAACTGACCTGTCTTCCCCTGAGAGTCCCACTGGTATCTGTGTGTGCATGGGGAGTTTTTCTCTCTGGTCAATTTCAAATTTTTATCTTCTGTTTTATGGCAGCATTTTGACAATTTAAATTCTTTGTAATCTTTTTGCTTTATCTCTTGTTCTTATCTGTACTATCAGATATGAAAATGTTCTGGTCATCATCCTCTTAGAAATAACCTGTTTCTGATTAATTAGTAAAATTTCAGAAGTTCAAGTTTCAGTATAGTTCAGTCTTCTCATGTCTACCCCTGTGTCAGTCAAAGATGACATTCATTGTCAGAGTGTGTGTCACGGTCTAACTGATCCTCTTTGCTTGTCATTCCTTCTTCCCGATGGTCATAAACATTCATATCCAAATTCATTCATTAAGAGGTTTTTTTTAGACCAATTTAGGTTATGCTACTCTTTCTTCATGCAGATCAGCTTCATTTCCTATCTTAGAAGTTTTTAATCTTTCTGAAAAATAATCAGGGAGCACTTGTTTTAAAATCTTCATGGAATATCATTTATTTATTGCATATCCATTTGCTTATTTTAAAATGCAAAAACCATTTTTACCTTGAAAGTTATTTGAGATCTGTCTTAGGTCAAATTTGGCTCATGTGCTGAAATTTCATAAAACATGTTCTACTTCAGAAGTCATAACACTATTTAGAATTTCTTATCTTATGAGAATTTTCCCACTATGCTTCCCATCTACAATTTTTAAAATTCCTACAAATTTTTCAGTAGACAAATATACACCTAGGATTTGTAGGAATTTGAAAAATTGTAGATGAATGATAATTATGATGGCAGGGTTTTTCTTTAGAAAAAACTATGATTTAATACTTTGCAAAGAAAACAATTGAACCCCATGCTGGTCAGTTAATATAGGTTTTTTTAGCACTTAGTATGATTTTTCAAGGAATTAGTTTTGCCAATCAAGTCCTTTTTTTAACTTCTTTATTGAATCTTTGTAGGTTTTGCATCACACTCCCCAATTCTGTTCACCTCCCTGTCCCCATCTATGTTTCATGCCCCAACAAAAGAAAACAAAGTAAACAAGGAAACAAAAGCAAGAAGAAAAATCTCCCAATAAACAAAAACAGAATAAAACCACACCAGAAACAGAAATATCTGCTTCTTCATCTCTTTTGACTCTCCATCACCTCTTCATCCTTCTTGATGGCAATGGAGACTTTGGTATTTTGTATAGTACACCCTTTTGTATCATCAGCTTGAATGGCAACTGTTCATTGCAATGAGTCATTGGTCTGGTTCAAGGCCTCTGGTTTTCGGTACACCATCCTCACTGGCTCATCTGGGGTATTCTGTGTCAGGAGGTCTTGTGGGTATTGTTCCACATGACCAGTCCCTTCATAAGTCCTTGCTGATCAAATCTTAAGGGACCCTTAAACATACTTTTGTTTCCAAAGTCCTATTGTTATTTTACCTTTTCATTGCAAATTTATATCATTACAAATGATTAGAGAAGATCTCCATCATTGTAATGCATTACCTATTAAGAATTCTGTAAATATACAATGTTTAAACATAATAAAGGTGATTGAAACCCAAATTGGATTTGAGATGCTAAGTAATATAAGTACTTGCA